TGATGAACTCTCTCTCTTAATTTTCACTGTCTTATTTTTTATTTGTGACTAGTTTAGAACTAAACTCATTACAATTCTATTTGTAGCGAAGAAAAGATGTATGTATTATTCACGTTGTTCTGTGCCTTGTTTAATATTTAAAGGCCCTTGGCGTAGAACCTTATAAATATTTTTAGTCAAGATCGGAGGAAGAAATGAAGGTTCGAATTGGTCGCTGCAAGTGTATGGGTTGATTGTTGTATGTGATTTTGTTGATCCTCAATGCAATGTAATCTTCAACCAGTACAGGGATGAATGCCAAATTGTCACTGAAGAGGCTCGTGTTGTTTTCTAAGTTTTCCTTCATTAATGTAATCCCCTTCCTCTTTTTTCTATGATATGGTGATGCTAACCCTGTTATCACTATAATAACACACATTTCTTATCTTATTAGTATAAAAGTGTTAGATCGTTCACTGCTGCACCTTTTCTGCTGCAGTTACCTTATCTTTTACTTTCATATATGTTCTTTTTTCTTTGTTTCTTCGTGCTTCGCTGTAGGAACTAACAAATACCGTTTGCTGATGAGATGTACGGTTAGCCAAAGGAGTTACCTTCACAACTTTATGAATTACATACTAGAAAAAGTGTTGTTGATCCTAATATAACTATATCATCTGTTGGATCTGTGATTTTCACTGTTGCTCCTTTAGAACTGCTGTTAATACTCAATGGTAGCAACTAGGAATAAGCAATTTGGGAATCATGTGAGTTGGATACATCAATTCAACTGTGTATATTTATGTAGAAAGCATTGTTGCCTTGTCTTCTACAACTGAGTAGATCATATGTATTTCTCTAAGTTCTTGCCTTGTTAATATCCATAGTAAAGGCGCAAAGAAATGCACGCAATACCTACTGATGTGCTAGAAATTTGTAAGAAAAATTGTTTTATTGAAAAAGTAGAGCTGCTTATATGTTCCCTTTGTTTTTATTTCATTCTTACTTTGATCAGATAACTATGCAGCTTATATTTTCTCTCACAACTAAAAAGACTAAAGAGTGGACACTGTTTTGGTGCGACATTCTAACGTGAGGTCCATGGTTCTGCCTGCTGCGATCCCGCACCCCTCGCTCCTACGCCCGTCCCTTATGACAAAATTGAATATGAAGGAAACAAACCTGGCTCCCGTGATTTCAGAGCGCGCCCATCGTCACCCTCACCACGTCGCCGTCACACGCGCCCGCTCGAGTGATCCGCTTGACGAGCTCGAGTGCGAAGACTTCTTCAGGCTCAAGAAGATCCAAGGGTACAAGAAGAGAGAGATCGAGCGCCAGATGGCCGCCGCCAAGCTAAGCTGTTCGCGGAGGAACAACTCACCGAGGATCTCGCGCTCATGAGGGGCATCTCTGTGGGGGTTGCGGCAAATCTGTTGGGCGCTGGTGGGTAGATGGACGGCGGCATCATCTTCTGATCACTCCTTCCATGGTCATCCAATCATTCAATCGGTGCATAGCATCATTCATCAACACATTGTCCCCTTATTCTGGATCTGGGATGAGAAAACTTACACGATATGTGTCAGGTGCGATGGTTCCTTTCATTCCGTGAATAATGCTACTATAGTTCCTTTGATTGTACCAATATCAGTCAGGCATTGCTATTAATTTTTTACTTCTTCTTAGATGGATCCAAGATACTTTCCCTAAATGTGTACATAAGGTCCAAAAACATTCTTTCTTGTGATAAACGATCTAACTAGAAAGTAGCTGTTGATTGATTTCAACAAGATACACTAATCACAATCACATTGCTAATATTTTTAGTTTTTTCCACTTTACATCATGTTTATTGAAAGGTTGAAAACAACACAATACACTTGCAGGTGTTCATGCTTGAGTTAATTTATTTGAACTCTGTAGTACCTGTGTGTTCATGTGAACAAGGCATGGTAATCACAAACACATTGCTGATCCAGTCATGCCTATGATATTGCTAATGCATTTCATTTGTAGAGAGAGTGGACTAACTTATTTTTTATTCTTTTCTTTTTGTTTTCTTTCTTCGCTTCTATTTATTTTACTCTTTAATTTATTTTTTAATTGTTCTTTATTCTTATTTTTTGTGGTTCTTTATTCTTATTTCCTTTTTCTTTCATTTTTATTTTATATGACTCAATATTTTATTTATATTTTTTATTTTCATGTTTTATTCTTTTCTTCTTCTTCTATTTCTTTCTCCTTTCTGTTTTTTATGTGTCTGTGGATTTCTCATTTTCATTTTTTTATTTTCATTTAACTATAATAATTTTTAGTCTTATTTTTAGTTTTTCTTTTTATTCTATGAGGTATCTATGATGCGAAAATCTTCTCTCTCGATCGATCGAAACGGAGCCACGCGCCGAGCACCAAGCATGGACATTGCATTAGGTGGTGCACGGCCCACATGGAGTGCACAACCGCAGGAGCAACATTATCATTCACTAGGCTGAAGTGCTGGTCAGGTTTTTGTCGTTCAGTTCTTATTAAAAGAAGTTCTTTTTTATTTTATTTTCTTGTTTCATTTTTTCATATTTTTTTATTTCTTTCTTGTTTTTTATTTCTTTTTTGTTTTTATTTCTTTTCCTTTTTCAATTTTGTCTTTATGTTTTCCGTAGAGTTTTTTATCTTTATCTTTTTTTCTATTGTATTCTAATTAATTAATTTTTCATGTTTACTTTTTTATTCTATGAGATGTCTATTACTTATTTTATAATGTTCACGTAGTATATATTGATGTTCTATGATGTATTTTATGACGTTCACGTAGTGTATATGTGATGTTCTATGTTGTATTTTTGTGATGTTCCCGTGGTACATACATGTCATGTTCTATGATGCGTTTTTGCGATGTTCATGTAGTATACATGTGATGTTCTATGTTATATTTTTGTGATATTTATGTGTTATACATGTGATGTTCTATGATGTATTTTTTGTGATGTTCGGGTGGTATACATGTGATGTTTCATGATGTTTTTTGTGGTGTTCACGTACTATACATGTCATGTTCTTTGTTTACTCTGTGATGTTCACGTAATATACATGTAATGTTCTATGACGTATTTTGTGATGTTCATTTAGTGTATATGTGATGTTCTATGATGTATTTTATAATATTCGCATGGTATACATATGATAGTAGATGTATTTTGTGAGGTTCACATGGTATACATGTGATTTTCTACGATGTATTTTAAAATGTTAACATTGTATAAAGGTGGAACATTGTTTGCTGAATCTAGAACTTTGTATCTCATCAATAAAAAATATTCTATTTTCATGAGATAAATGTTCGTTAATGATTTTTTTAAATATATCCATGTGGGGTCCTGTTTTGAAGAATTTATTACAAAAAAGTTGATGGCGTAATCAGATTTTTTTTTTCAATACTTGGTTTGTGAACTATGAATTTTTGAAGTTTCATAAAACCATTAGTATCCATGTTGATGCAAGGGAATCTTTTTCTGATAGGCTGGCCAAAATAAAATAAAAAACTAATCTTAATCTAACTGATGCGCTGAGTACAAGTGAATCCGAATCATATATGCATATAATAATTAAAATACAATAGGTGGATAGTTTGGCCCAAACAAATTAAGTCTATGTACAAATAGCCACGCACGTATCCGTAAAACATTATCATTCCCGCGTCCTCTGTTCGCTCGTCTTATGAGCCGTATTTTTTTTTCAAAAAATGAACAGTGTTTTTCTCCCACACCAAATAAGCCATGGCTATTCATAGAAGTGAATAGGGGCGGCGCGCGGCTACTGTTTTGCCGGCCGGAGCGGGAGCGCGCCAGCGTGGACGACACGGGCGGGAAACTAGGAGTGCGCCAGCGCGGGCGAGAAAATCATCGGCGCTAGGACTAGGATGCGGCCGCCCGGACGTTAGAAGCCCCCAGGGACGTGACTAGTTCCACGTGTGATCAGATTAGATTAGGGAAAGCTATAGGATATTTTAGGTAGAATCCGGATGCGAGAAGACCCACGCCTTTTGTAAACTGAACCAATCCAAGTAATAGATCAATCTTGCCTAATTCCTGTCTTCCCTTTGCAGAGGCTATTGCTGGCTAAATGGCTAATCCCTGCGGTCTAGAGTTCAGGCTAGCGTATAGATTATCCCTCCAACACTACTTCCATCTAACTGATAAATTGTATCTGAGTGTAGGGACTTCAGCGAAGCAAGGGGTCACCGACAAGCACAAAGGATTTCAAGGGCTTGTTGTATTTTTCTATGATTGTAGGGGCATTTATGTAATGTGGGCTAGAGAGCTTGTTCGGCTAAACTAAAAAATACTGTTCATGCTGATAAATATTGTTCATGCACTGTCCCGACTAAAAAAACAAGCCGAACAAGCCGGCTTCTTGCTCAGCCAAACAAGCTCTGTACACCTTCTCGTATGTTTTCCCTAACTTTAATACAGTCAGGCATTATTAAAAAAAAATCAACTTGTAGGATGAGTGCTAAAATATCAACCATATACTCCTTCTTTGTTTAACTTTAAACCAATCACTAATATTCTAAATTTTAGATGGTTATATGAGTAATTAAGTATGAACCATTTTTTTTTTTGAGATTTGAACAACTATATTTGTGAAAAAAAAACAGTATAAATCAGTACCTGCCATCCATGAACCATGCTATTTTAGAAACATATGTACATGTACTTCCTCCATCCCACAGTGCATTTTCAGGTGTCCCAAGTCAAATAAACCATAAAGTTTGAAGTTTTTTTTTTTCAAGACGAACAAGAATATTTACGACATCAAAGAAATGAATTATTATGGTGAAAATACATTTCGTAATGTCTCTAATGCATCTCATTGATATCGTAAATGCCCTTGTTCTTTTCAACAAATTTAGTCGAAACTTAGGATGGTTGACTTAGAATAGCTGAAATTTCACTGTATTTCAGGACAAGAGAGCGCCAGAGAGGAGTAGCATATTCACAACAGGCATGTGTGTGAGAACGAATTTACTAGTTCGCGGGGACAAAAGGTGTAGCTTTCAGCACGAGATCAGTTTTCCGGCGTGCCGTGATCCCATAAGCTTCAACCATGTCTAGCTCGCTGGGATCTGCTCCACCGGGCAGCTCCCAGTCGAAGTGATAAAGCAGGCTCGCAAGCGCCATCTCAATGTTGGCCAGCCCAAACGTCAAGCCCGGGCACATCCTTCGGCCGCCGCCGCCGGGGAGGAACCTGAAGTCTGCGCCGCTGAAATCCACCGTGCCATCGCCTTCGCCCTCGCCGTCGAACCTCTCAGGTTTAAACTCGCTCGCGTCAGGCCACCACCTCTCGTCTCTGCCGATCGCCCACGCGTTGACGAACACCGTGGTGCCCGCGGGCACGTCGTGGCCCATGATCGTGATCGGCTCAGCACAGGACCTTGGGAGGATGAGCGGCAATGGAGGGTGCAGCCTGAGCGTCTCCCTGATCACTGCCTGGAGGTAGGGTAGACGCCCCTGGATGTCCGCCTCGGCTACCCTTGTCTTGCCCTGAAGGACTCGCCGGACCTCTGACTGCGCTCGCCGCATCACGCCCGGGTTCTTGGCGAGCTCCGACATGGTCCATATGGTCGTCGTCGCTGTAGTCTCTGAGCCAGCGGCGAAGACATCCTGATGGAACAATTGAAACAGTTTTCTCATCAGGTACCAGAGGAATAGAGGAAGCCATGGCAATGGGGAGGTGACTTACGAACAACACCGCGCAGACAACTTCTGTGGTGAGCACGGTCTCCAGCCCACCATCGCGCTGAAGCCGTAGCAGGACGTCGAGGATGTCGTCGTCCTCAGAGCCCTCGCCGTCGTTGTTGGCCGCCTTGCTTGCATGGTCCTGGATGATGGCTTGCACGATGCTGTGCACCTTGTCGTGCACCTCCCTCGCGGCTCGCAGGGCCCCGGCGCCGAGCGCCCTGGCGAGGCGCGAGCCCGGGAACAGGTCGACGAGGTTGAACCCGGCGAGGAGCCTGAGCGCCTCGTCCAGCTCGGCGATGTACTCGTCCCTCATCGGGCACCTGTCGCCGACGGCGCACCTCATCAGGACGTCGTTCGCGAGGACCTTGACCCGCTCGCTGACGTTCACGACCGGCGGCGACGTCGCCGCGACGGACCGGACCAGGCTCGCCGCCTCCTCCTCCCGGATGGGGCGGAAGGACAGCACGCGCCTGGGGCTCAGCAGCTCCGTGGCGCAGAGCCGGCGGACCTCCTTCCAGTGCGGGCAGCCGGAGGGCGCGAAGGCGATGTTCTGGCCACCGTAGGAGAGGATGTCGGCGGTCACGTACAGGGGCCGGTTGGAGACGACGGCGTCGTGCGTCCTCAGCACCTGCCTCGCCGCCTCCGGGGAGGAGACCACCACGGTGGGGACGTGCCCGAGGCGGAGGAGCACGACGTCACCGTACCTCTGCGCCAGCGCCCGCATCGCGTGGTGCGGCAGCGCGCCCAGCAAGCAGTGCAGGTTCCCGATGACCGGCAGCGGCCGTGGGCCCGGAGGCAGGTTCAAGGCGCCGGCGGCGCCGTGGCGGGAGGCGATGGACTTCGTCTTCAGCTTGAGGAGCACCGCGACGCCGGCGAGGAGGCAGAGCAGGGTGCACCACACAGCAGGTGTTGTTTCTGCCATCACGACTTCACAAAGTAGTGTTTGTTCTTAAGGCTAGATCATATATATATAGGGCAAAATGGAAAATGGATATTGGTTTTGGTTCCTCCAACCAATATGAACTGGCCACCAGAAATGTCAAAGATGTGGTATTTTAATTTACTATTCATATCACAAATGGATCCTTTCAGGAAAGAAGATCACAAGTGGATCAGGCAAGAAAAAAAAATCAGCCTAGTAGACGATAAGAAGATTGCCTCTTAAATCGAAGATGAACGGTAGGAAAGAAAAAAAATATAAATTTAGAAGCGGTTTGAGTACAAGCAATGCTAATTGGTTCAAATTCTATGGTGATCCCGCGTCTGACTTTCTCAATCGATATTGTTTATGTCTGGATAAAGTGATAAACTGACCTTCTTAATGAAATACATGTGAAGTCGTGTCCTCAAAAAATATGATAAACTGACATGACATTCTCTACTTCAAATGAAATTATACGTGTGCTCGTGTGGAACTCGAGGCAACACTAGTTAATTCCACATGCTTGACATTTTAGGTACAGTCGTGCACATCTTGAGCAGTGGCGTGGCGTTATTAAGTTACTGTATATATCATAACGATAATGTCCCTTTCATTGAGGCCACATGGCTCACTGCTACGGTGTGAAAGGATAGCTTCATAGCAATTATTTGGTGCAGTCAACGCACAAAGGAAGATAAGTGAATAAACAGTAAATTTCCAAGGTCAAAGCCCAGATCAGCACAAGACATAGCATCATCTCTCGCGCGTGCGGCGGTAGCAATGACCGTATCGTATATTTTCTCAAATACTTAAGAGCTGACATGTGGAAATAGCTAGGCAACTATTAGGGTGTATTTGGTACGACTTCGCTCTGGCTCTGACTCCAACTGCAGTTTCGGCAGAGAAGTTGAAGAAACCATAATCAACATCTAAAGAAAAGGAATTGGTTTTTGGATTATAGAAAAGGAGCCGATTTGTGGTGGATCCTGCTTCCAGTTCCGGTGGAGAAACAGGCGAGCAGCTGGTGAGAAGCAGTACCAACCAAACACTTAGTTATATTGGATCAAATTTTGTGTTCGTGCTTTTTTTTTCTCGAATACGCAAGAGCATTGCGTATCATTTATATTAAGAAGGAAGAGAGTTTAAATTACAAATGGCCTACGCCGGCCCGGCAACAGAAGCTTAAAGGGGATTACATAGGCGTTAAGAATTATCTGCGAAGCAGCGGTTTGTCGCCGTGTTCTATCCTGCTCTGGCGTCCACGATCGCCCGACCTAATGTCAACCACGGGCGTCCGCCGTTGTCTTGGCGTGCTCTGGAGTTCAGACCCGTCGTTCCACGATAAAATGGAGATGTTATCCATTGATGTATCGACGTCCGTGCGGAGAGATCAAGGCCGATTGGCGGGACCGTGGCCAGCGGACTACTCGACCAACTCGTGTTTTTGTTGCTTTGGGAATAGTTCGTCCCGGGGCAGCTACTTGTGAAGTTGTGAGGTTCCCCGATAGAATGGCATCATAGGCCCACTTGGCCCCTGGTGATGGTGGCGCCGTGTTCTGCGAGAATCCCCATTTTCTTCATGAGAAGCACTTCCCCACGCTTGGATGTTGGGGCGTCGCCCGGTACCACTCTGACGATCCGGTACGCTACGTAACGGCATGGCCCTCTTTTTCGTCGGGGCTTCTTTGGTCATGGCGGAGTGTTGAGCGATGGTGATCTAGTGTTTTGTATCACCTCATCGGTGAAAGCATGCCACCGTCGGCGGCGGCTTCATTGGGCGACAGGGGTGGCTTCTCGCGCCGTGGCGCCTACGATTATGGCGGTGGCGTCCGGAGAGCGGTATGTCGTCGATGTTAACATGGGTTGTGTTGCTGATGGCGAAACTACCGACGGTGTGGCGGTCGGCGGGGTGATAAGCGCCCGGTCCCGCAATTGCTATGTGGCCGAGGGCTCCACGAGTTGCAACCAGATTAGCCGTCACATGGTCACCACCTGCGTTGTCCGTTGGGACGGCGTGAGGTTAGTCACTTCAGTGATGCTGCCTCTTGGCGCTTCATTGGGTTGTCGACTTGCATGACTGTTGGCGTTGTGGGGTCACTGAGGAGTCCTGCCTCGAGGATCATTGGATCCGAGGCCGACTCGACTCGAGTGCACTGGCCGTCGTTTAACATGTGGTCAAATTCGAATGGGAGCGGGGCCCCTAGTTCAGCGAGTCCTTCTCCCGCTGGGAAAGGCACATCGCAAAAGCAGGATTCGCCTGCATCCTGCTGCGGCTTCAGCTTTTTTGCTTTTGCTTTGCGCAGGCGTACTCAGAATGTTGGCGGTGTGGTGTTTTTGAACAGGGGGTCCTCAACCAACTAGTAAATATGAACTATGTGCCCCTAATCCCGGATGGTGATGCAAAGAGACACAAGGTTTATACTGGTTCAGGCAATTGGTGCCCTCGTCCGGTCCGAGAGATTGATCTTGTATTCCTTGCACCAAGTGCTTGGGTAGGGGTTACAAACTAGGTGAGAGAGGGAGCTAGTCCTAGGTCTCGGCGTGGAGCAGTGCGGGCTGCTTGAGGCGTTGCTCTCGGGCGACTTGGGAGAGCGTATGTCTCGTGAGCCTATCTCCGTGAGCTCGTGAGTGCCTCCCCTTAAAAGCGGCCCCGATCTCCCCTTTTATAGTTGAAGGAGGGACGGGGGTGATACATGTGTTGCCAGTGCGGCGGCGCGGAGGTGGCATGCTTGAGTCCTATAACTTACTCTGATGGCGGCATGGTCAGCAGAGTGGTCTTGTCCTTGATGTCTTTTTGAACAACGCGCCGGTCACACCCGATTCGTATGGCGTGGGCACTCCGGTGATGACTTGACGCGGGTATGGCCGACGATGTGCTTGGTCGCTATGGGTTGACGGTGAAAAAATGAGAGGCTCGATTGATGTCGAAAGGTGAGCCATCGTGGGGGCTCTCGGCGGCGTGAATCCCGAGGCTGCCGAGACACGGAAGTGGATTGCCGAGGCCTTGGAGGCGCAGTTGGTCTCATGCACCGATTACGAGGCTATAGTGACTCGTGCACTTCCCCACGCCATGCTACTCCTGGAGCGAGGAATTAGGTAACCTGAGTGCGATCTGGCGCCGAGCATGGAGTGCGATCTTGAAACCGCGATGGCGATAACCCTGTTTAAATCTGTCTCCGTCCGTCGGCCACCTGTTGTCTTTGCGCGCCGTCGGCCAGACGTCACGAGGAGTGGTTGGGCGCGTGATGTTTTGTCGAGAAAGTCGGTCGGCGGAGGCGACGAGGTTGTTGCCGAGCCACCTCGGCGAGTCGGAGAATCGGATTGCCGTCGTCAGGGGCTTCACTCGTGGGGCCTCGGGCGAATCGGAGAATCGGTAACCCGTTCGAGGCCTTGCGGAGCGGGCCTCGGCCACGAAGGAGCCTCGGCGGGGGCCTCGGTGAGGCGGAGAGTCGTTGCGACGCGGGCTTCAGACGAGTCAGAGAATCGGCCGAGACCCTGTGATTGTCCTTTGGCTTTGATATTTGCGAGGTCCTAAGCAATCCTTTCGGTTCTTGCTTAGGGTACCCCTTTTTATGGTATCAAACGATAGCCCCAGAGCCTCGGGGAGTCTGACACTTTCCACGAGGGTTTGTCGAGACTTGGCTTGCAGTTGCTCCTGTCGGTATTGTGTTTTGTTTTTGAGGTTCCGGTGGAGTGCAGCGGCTTTGGCTGGATCTCCCGAGGCCTGGAGGTGGATTTACCCCTCGAGGGCTTTGTCCTGATGAGCGAGGAATTTTATCAAGTTTGCCGGGCCCCATGAGGGTGAGTTCAGTCATTGGGACTTGGCCTAGTTGCGAGAGAAGAGCCCCGAGCCTCTGCACGGCGGGAGGGAGGCGTCGATGGTTTCCCTGTCTTTTTGGCGACCCTCGCGCATCCTTTTCGTTCGAAAGGAGGGTGGAACATGTCGAGGCTACCCTTGGTGGGCGCGGCGATGACATCTCCGGTGAGTTGTTATCGGGTAGTCAAGTGGAGGCTCGTGCCCCTATTCGATAGGGGTGGCTTGTGGTCGAGACGCCTCAAAAGTTCGAGAGGGCTTCTCTAGTGGGTCCTAGGGCCGTTCGATTGGCCCCGGGGACTCGGTGCCTCCCTACGGTGGGATCCCATTCGGAGACTTCCCTGCTGGTCTCGGACATGACTTAGGGCTTCCCAAGCATTTGCTTGCTTGGGCTTTTGGCCATGTTGGGCTTGCCCACAATCATCCTGACTCTGTTGTCTGGGCGGTTGCCGAAACCTTTGGGGGCCCGACCTTGAACCCCTGGATCATAACGGGCTCGATGCCCTTTTGTCGCGTTTTTCAAATCTCTGAGTGCGAGCTTGGGTGGTTTGCTTTCGTTTTGGGTGCGGAAGAGCCCCAGAGCCTCCGCCTGCGGGCGAGAGGGCGATCATGAGTTCCCAGCTTTTAGGCGACCCTCGCACATCCTTTTCGTTCGGAAGGAGGTTGTTTGCCGAGCCCATCGAGTGCGAGCCGGGTCATTGGGTCTCAACAAGTTTGCAGGGAGAGCCCCGAGCCTCCACACGGGCGAGAGGCGATCGAGTTCCCCTTTTTATGCGACCCTCGCGCATCCTTTTTTGTTGGAAGGAGGGTTGTTTGCAGAGCCCATCAAGTGCGAGCACTGGGTCATTGGGTCTCGACAAGTTTGCGGGAAGGCGCCCAAGCCTCCGCCGCAGGCGAGAGGCGATCGGGAGTTCCCTTGGCTTTTATCGACCCTTGCGCATCCTTTTCGTTCGGAAGGAGGGTTGTTTGCCGAGCCCATCGAGTGCGAGCACAGGTCGTGGGTCTCGACAAGTTTGCGGGAAAAGCCCCGAGCCTCCGCGGCAGGCGAGAGGCGATCGGAGGAGTTCCCCGGCTTTTATGCGACCCTCGCGCATCCTTTTTCGTTCGGAAGGAGGGTTGTTTGCCGAGCCTATCGAGTCGCGAGCACAGGTCGTTGGGTCTCAACAAGTTTGCGGGAAAAGCCCCG